CCCCTTTTTTTTTTAAACCCAACATCCCTGGCTCAGGCACGTGTCACAGAGCGTGTTCATCACATGAACAGCAGTGTTCTCCTTCTCTCCGCCCACACTCACACAAAGCAGTAAGGGAAGGCACATTCACAAGGATATAGTGGAGACCCTGCCTCAGTTGAAACGCGCACACACACAAAGCTGGCTTTCATTCACACATGTGGATTTTTTTAACATGAATGAAGCCTTATGTCTATTCACAAAAAATGCACTGAAGATTACTCTCCCATAATAATCAGCACTGCCCTAAAACTCTGGTTTGCCTGCTGGGTCTGTTGATAAACTCGCAATCCCTGGTTTATTCTCTGAGCCGAACTGAGCAAAATTCTTGCATAAGTGCTGACCCAAGCCTTTGTCACTCATGTGCTAAGCTGATGAATGGCTGCATCCTTCTTATATAATGGGACCGTTTTCCTCAATAAACTCTGCTGTCAAGGGAATTGGGGGAACAGGGCTGGAGGGGTGGATTCCAGGGCACATGTAACATCACTATGCCCCCCACCTTTGCTTTAACAAAAAAAGGAAAGGGGGGGATGTCTTTGGTTCAGTTTATTTCCCTGTATCTACACACATGCAACAGGACCGACACAGGCTCCCTTACATAATACAGGATGCTGGGGGCTAAGACTGGAGGAGGGAGCACAGAGCAGAAAAAACAGAAAACCGAGGGCTGCTGCATGTTAGACTGGGAAGCTTCCCTACTGGAACTAAAAGCAATGCTAAATGCTAAACAATTTGATAACATTATACCACCAAATATTAAATCCTTTAAACTGTTATCAAATGCCTGAAAGGCAGATTAGTGCAATATCCCCCCCCCAATGAATCCATAAATAATCTTAAAAAGCTGCTAAATAAAAATAAATAAAAGGGCAATTAAATGTAAATTTCCAATGTCTTTTAGAGAGCTGCCATTCATTTGCTGAATATCTTTAACAGAACTGAGCTGTGGAGATGGTTTAGAATGGCAGGGGATGGGGAGGGTGAGTATGTGAAAACAAGCAATAGAGAGGCTGGGGAAGCCGCCTTGACTCATACTGCAGCGCTGCTGTTCAGCCACTAGGAGTCCCATCCACTAAGGGGAAGACCACTGGCAGAGGAACTCCTGAGAAATCCCTGCTCTGCTCTGCATATGAGAGCTGCAGAGTTTTAGTCCAACACAGACAGCGTGTACAGTGATTACGAGGAAACAAAACCTTACAAACTTATATCTGAACAGAAAGCGAAGCAAGCAAGTTCTTCAGAAACTACCTTCAAACCTTCAAACTCGTTTCAGCAGGAAATACTAGTCGCCTCCTCTGAGATTTTTCTAGAAAGCAAGCCCGTTCTAGAAATATGCATCTAAAATAAAGTACAATGACCCCCCCCCCCCCCCCCACACACACACCAAATACAACTACACATACGTTTAAGAAGCTATACGTTTAAATTGCATTTCTGATCAAAGACTTCAGTTCAGTTTCAAATGTGTTCTTAGACAAAGAAACTGTATATGACAGACGGAATATTCACTGTCATTAGTAAATAGAAACTCTAAATTTTCTAAAATGATAAAAGTTATAAATTCAGAGGACATATTATTCTTGTAGGAAACTAAAACTGAACAGCACTACAGATTAAATTCATGCTGCCCAACTGTAAAGGGTATAAATAAATAAATAAATAAATAAATAAATAAATAAATAAATAAATAAATAGTGATTTCCCACACTATCCAATAGCTGGAAGAAGGAGGACTTGTTGCAACAAGGATCTCTGAAAGGTGGGGACCGGTAGTAAAACGATGTATCATGCATGCGTTAAAGAAATCAGACCACTGCCTAAACTGGCCAAACCTGCACATCTGGTGTAACCGGCAGAGGCGCACGCCTCATCCCGATCACACATGCCCCCACCTCTCCAAACGCGCACACCTGTTTTCGTCCTGCCATCTCCGACCGTTGTGATTGGAAACGTACGCCAGACTTGTCAGACTGGTGGCACCAATTGGTTTCAGGGAGTGGCATGTTCACATCTTACGTAAAGCGTAAGAGAAGAACAAATGTGACGAAGTGGAAAAGTTCCGTAAGAATCCTTTCCAGAAAAAAAATATCCATGTAATCTTCTAGTTTAGGGCATCCTTTAAGCTCCTAACTCAGGAGCTTTACAAATAACGAAGATCACATTTATTTGAAACGCACACAAAATGGGCTGTGCTAGAATAAAACTGTATAATGAAACATTCGAGGTAAATAAAAATGCAGGAAAAATATTAATGCGAAGTTAAGTGCTGCACTTGATAACATACTGTGGGTGGGTGGGATGACGTGAAGGTGGCATTCCTATATGGCCAAAGGATGACGAAGCGATGAACAAGCGCATGACTCATCGGTGTGCACCGACATTCCTCCGCATATTCCATCAGAATCACTTAAAAACGTGCATTAGTCGTTCTTAAAGGCATCCTACCGCCCTACCTTTGCGTCATACATTTCAGCCCCTCTAATGGCGCAAAGGGCCTCAATTAAACATACATTTTACAAAACTGACGGTTTCGTCAAGAAGTGCGCCACAATGTACAGATAAACATCTGTGTGACTGAAAGAAAAAGGAAAACAACAAGCATTTATATTATCCGCCTGGCTTTTGGAGAGGAAGGGGGTAGAATATCGACCTATCCCGACGCGAAAGAGAGCGCCTGCCAAACTGCGCAGCAAGACGCTCCAGACGCAGCAGTCTTCTCCAAACAGCGACTAGAGAAGTGGGTCAAGCCATGGCAGGGCGATTCCTATGAGACAAGTCTCTATCAAACCATAACGCTCTTAGGTATGGCTCCGAAGTCACTTCCGTTTTGACAAAAACGTTTTTTTAGTGTAAATTATACAGTCAGATCCAATAATGACACATTAATCTTATGAGAAAGATTTGCAAGGCAAACCGAAGGACAGGACAAGAGGACCTGATCAGTGAGAAACCGGCGACATGAGAAATACAAAAAATGCCGCCAGTATAAATATGCTGTGGAAGGGGAACACATTTTTCAGGCACGTTTCAAGAATTACGGGTAAACCACTGAAAATGACATGCAAGATGATCTAGATGTAGGTCACGTTTTAATTAAGCATATGGGTTTGTCCTACATCATGCGGATGGGTTAATGTGGTTCAGTAGTGCTCCGGCTAAGAGCTCACCCACATAAAACAGCTCTGTGAAAAGTGCGCATAGCCTGCGCAATTTGGCTCCTGGCTCACCAATGTGGGGCATCCCCGCACCGTTCCAAATGTGCTTTGAAAACGCTGACTGGAGCCCCTGGCAGGAGACTGTGTGCTGTGTTTGACGTGAGAACAAATGAAAACAATTGGAGGTAATAAGGACCATTATCTTCTCAGTCAATCAGCTGCTTACCTGCGCCTGTTACGCAACACCAACTTCCCCTTGAATGAATCCACACGCAAAAAAGAAAAAACGCAGAACGCAGTTTTTTGTGTGCCAAAGTCAAGTTTGCGCTCAATAACCTCATTCTGGTGCTCGAGCCGAGTCCACCTGCCTACTTCTGAGCTGCCCTCTTCATGACCGTGAATGTGTTGTAGGTGGCTTGGAAATTGATGTGACCCTACTCACCTGCCCATTTGCCTAGCTTCGGAGACAGCAGCTGTCCATTTCCCAAAACCCAGATCCTAAAGCCTGTGAGCAGCCTGTAGAGCAACCACAGCGTCAGGGAGGCCACAGTGAATGCACCGACCCAGAAGAGAGGCGTTTCGGCCCAGCTGATCATTTCCTCAATGTTCATCCAGTTCACGGCAGCGGCTCTCGGTGACTCTGCGTGTGTGTGAGTGTGTATGTGGAGACCTCAATTTTAGGCAATGTGCTCTAATTTCCGAGCCACAACGTGAGAGAGTCCCTTTATAAGGAGGTTGTAGCATCACACACACTCCCCCAACACTTGTCTAGCCTGATTTAAAGTGCACCACCCACCTCCTACTCTGCACCGCCCTTCCCCGTTCCTCACTGGCTGCAGTAGGTGCCCGTCGACCGATCCAGCCCCTCTATAGGCTCCTTTGCGCGTCAGTCAAAAGCAGAGCTTCCCCCATTCATTCGATTTTCTGTATGAAATGGGGTGGGTCAAAGGGAGACCGGGATGAGGAGTGATTGGACAAACATTACGGCAGCTCCCATCCTGAGTCAGGTATTGGCTCTCACCAGAACAGGTTTGACGGTTTCAGTCAGGATTATGAAACCCTCCAAACCCACGCCTGCGAAAAAAAACTGCCCACACCACTTTATGAATGAAAGGATGCTCTCATTGGTGAAAAATGTGCGCGTCCTCCCGCCCAATGGAGAGCATTTGGACATGCTTTATTGGCTGAAGTGATTGCCAATCAGTGAGGTCAGCCTGTTCCTAGCTAGATCTGAGTTAGTCATCTATTTTAGGTATTCTGTTTGCATCACACTGCTGATAACTACTAAATATGCAGAGATAAGTGCGGCGAGGGGTTTTTTGGCGCCCCGATTAAATTCTTTGTTCCAGATAACTCCGTCACAGACATTTCTGTCGCAACATGCAAAAATGTGCTCCCCAAAAGGGAAGACTACAATGCCCAACCACACTCTTGTTAGCCACACTCTCGCGAGATTGCCCGATCGTAGTAAGTTCCCCATCATCCAAAACATTGAGCAAGGATGAGATGTGTGTGCGCGCGTTACATAAACATTGAGACAGTCGTGTGAATGTTCCGTCGCTTTATTTTATTGTTTTGTCTACATTTTCATACATACAAATGAGCCAATCATGCTTACAGAGTCCAGATGTTTCACAAGAACAGACTGCCATGATTTTAAGCTCGGCAGTATGTGCTCTGTTTCCCCAACTCCGACCCCGAAAGGCTATTTGCAGCAGCTTTTGGAGTCTCCAGCACACCCATCTGCCGCCATGCTTCCTCTCTCTCACACACACGCAAATTAAACGTAAAATTGTGACAAATAAAAGGTCTGCGAGACAAAACGAGGGCTGTCATGTACTCAGCAGAGGGGCAAAAGTATAAGAATAAGATTGTTTGCTTGTAGACATAATGCAGCTGCTTGTATTCTTTGACAGAAGAGATGAGATCGAAGTCAACGTGACACTGACGAGAAGGAGCAGCAAGTTGTGTAACAGCTTCAAACAGGGTAAAATTAAGAGTATTAGTGACTGGCTGTCTCTCAATCACCCTTACATACAGCAGACATAAAATACATTTACAAATGTCGAGTTAAATTGTCATCTTTTACAAAGTAATCTTTAAAAAACACATGTTTAAAATATTTTTTAATACCGATTTACATCCTGCAACCTCAACACAGCCAATATCACATAGCTGAATTAAATAATAATACATAATTATCAACACACAGGCTCTGACATAAGGCAAACAAATATATGCAGGCAATTTCTTAACATTAAAACAATAGACCAGGGAATAGACCAGGGAATTGTGCCAGGGAAATTACATTTCCCTGGCACAATTTATGTAAGAAAGATAGTAGCATCACATTGTCTTTAAATGGATTTCAAAAATATATATAATTTTATTTATTTTTACTAATGACACACACACACACATACACATGCACACGGTCTATCAGATGTTTTGAGAGTCCACAGTCACGTCACGGCCACGTCCTCGCAGTCCAATAGCTAAAAAGAGGAAAAAAGTTAGGATTTAGACGTGCACAATTTCCCCGTGAAAATGTTCACACGTGTCTGTATCTGTAAGACTTTAAACACGCAGAGAAACTGCACCACACACACACACTTTTGCATATCAGTTTCCCCACCGACTCTTCACGTGCACGATGTTGGATTATTTTGGCACGTTTAATATTAAATATACCAAAAGGTACACGCATGTTTTTATTTGTATGTTTCTACCAGCTTGTCACGTAATCACAAATATAACCACAGCTTCGGCTTGTTCCTATTTCAAGGGTTTTATTTTGTGTACATGAAAATTGTACCCACCCCACCCAGTATCGATAACCCTTAGCACCTCTCACCTAAGTCGCACAACACAAAGCACTGCCCATGTTTAAGTTTCTGCCCCGCTCCTCTCACCACACTGGCACACAGTCTTTCGCACACATGATCAGAGCCTATGCTAACCACATTTTACCCCCACACACCCTAAAGCCACAGTGCACTTTGGCTTCACAGCACCACAAATCCGTTTTTACTCTCACTATATTTTCTTCCCTTCCCTTCAGCATTAGTTTGTCCAGATGTAATCTGCAATAGTCCTAAATTGATTATGAAACATGAATTATAAGGGTAGTAACAATTGCTAGAAATTAAGAGGT